CACCCAAACGCCCCTTCGTTCTTTTATAGACAAAACTTCTTGAAACTTTCTCTCACCTGTTAGACTGGTTAACTCTTAAATCAAAGGAAACCTAGTGCTTTGGTCAACGAATCATCTTCCATTTACAAACAATTCCTTTTAGCGTTTTCCATAGCTTTTGCTAGAGTATTTTACAAGAGCCCTTGTTTCTTATATATTAACTTTTAAAAGCACTGTTAATAATAATACAATAATATAATGCTTCCCTTCTATTTTCGGAACCTATTTTGAGGGAAGATACCATAAGAAGATTCCAGTCCTTGTGTCTTTTACCCTGTCTTCACATCCTAGATCACCCTCTGTTGGAGTTTTTGAGTTCACGTCTTGGCATGCCAGGGTATCATTGGGATTTCTGTCACGATGCTCATGAATCTAGGGTACCAGGTGACACCTGTAGGTCCCATCACACCATAAGCCAATGATGAGAAAACTGGGTCTCATTTCCCAAGCAGCGTTCCCCTTTTGGCTTTCATCGCTCACACTTTCCCATACGAGCAACCCCCACAGGTATTAAGGGTATTTTCGGTGGTTCAACCACCTAGGGAATATTTCATTTAGGTGAGAAAAATCTCAAAATGTCTTCTTTTTTAGAAGGTCACATGCAAAACAACCCCTTTTAAGGTAACCCTTCTAAACACAAGGTGATTACGGTGTGCATATTTTTAAAAACAGGATATAATGTCCATTTATTAGCCTATAATCTGTACATAATACAAAAATAACTGATCGATATAAAGATTACACTACATCTCTTGTACTTCTTTCGCCTGATACTACTTACACAGATTTACAACAAATTATAAACAACGGAAATTATGAAAGGGTTAAATCTCAGATTTCAATTTCTATTGATTGTTACGATGTTATTTAACACCGTCCTCCCCTAATGGCAAGTAAGTACAGGACTGGAGAATACCGGGCCGCTCCAGAAGCTGGATCACTGGGATGGACACCATCCTCTGTGTTCCATCTGTCCTGTGAAACTTTCTCAACCTTATCAACTCAACTTTTCTAACATCATCACAGTACCTATGTTATTGAAAATTAACCCCAACCATTCATGCTTTGGATCTGCACAAAAGATCCAGATAACTCCACGTATAGGTCAGTAATTGTAGGCTTCCTGTCTATAGTTTTAGCACCTCTACCCACCTCTCCCCCTGCCGTTTTTCTTTTTGCAATATGACATAAGCTAACCTTCCCAGTACATATAATTTCCACCAGATATACATTACATTGTTGAAGAGCAATCAGAATTTTTTTCAGAAGAATCCCTTTCTCAAGATATATTCCTATTAGTTTGCTTTCCTATATCCAGGTAAGCACATTGTGTTATTCCTGAGGCTTTTTTTTTTATACCATCCTATGCTGATCCAAATCAAACAGACCTTTAGAGGGTACTGACAATGACGTCTTCATTAAATATGATCGCTGCTAAAGCTTTAGCTCCGTGTTTGCTCTGTAATGCTGTGCCAAGATATGGCCTTTAGATGTTCCCAGAATCCCTGGAAACGTGACTTATTTGTTTGTGAGCACAAGCTTTAGAGTGATTTTTGCAGCCACAACAAAATATGAGGATGAATCTTTCACTGGGCTGGAAATTTTGTCTTTACCCAACCACTGGGCTTGGAGCCACTTAGAAGAGGACTACTCTACATTGGTGCAACTGTAAAACATAGCAGCATTAAAACAGAGCAAAAGAATTTGCTCTAACAGCGAATTCTCATTTCTTCTGAATATTAAAAGTATTAACATTTCTAAATTCCAATGGCTATTGGTGGGAGCTGTAAGGAAGGCCTCACATTGTTTAACTTTTAAAATACAAATTTAAAAAGCCGGTCTTCATAGCCTAGCCTGATGACTTAAAGAAATCAGCAGAGTATCAAAAAATAACCCTAACACTCAAAATGGGCTTTGTTTAGGTATCATAAAGGCTAAGTCAACATAGTGGTTCTACCCTAGGAAGATGGCCAGAGATAACATTTCACAATTTCTACTAGAAGATCTCAAGAAAGCATACTAGTAATTGATGCCCTTCCAGTTTGGCTTTATTTTGAGTAATAGGACAAAAGCACTTAAAAAAAAAAAAAAAATGAGACCTCTGAAGAAAGCAAAGGAAAGAGGAAAGTCGAAAGTAAGAACCAAGCACAGCTCCCATCAGCGGGAATGCGGCTGGGGGGCTTTGTCAGAGGGCTCAGAGCCACAGTCCCCTTCCCTGCTTGCCTCCCGTGTGCGCCAGCCTCCGCGCCAGGCAGGAGGGCACGGCAGCGCGAGGAGAGGCAGACAGTTTTGCCGGCTCCCACTTGCTCTTCAGGCCAAAGTCCGGGCAGAAGTTGGCCTTGTGGGGTTCCTGTCGCCCTGCCAACCCGTGGCACTCCAGGGACATTGCTAGGAGAATCCTGGCCAAATCCTGCATGAGAAGTCACCTCCTTCACATTGTCTTCCATGTCGGGGGGTTAGACTAAAAGAGACCCCTTCTGTCAGGTTTTATGGTGTTTGTGCACCAGCCGGGGAAAAGTATGAGAGAGAAAAAGAAAGCAACTTGTTTAACCTCGCACAAGAGAAAGGAGAGAATTCTTCAAAATAGTTGATCTGGGAATGAAGCCCAACCTCCCCAAATCTCGGTTCAGTTTGCTATTTTTTCATTTACTGTTGGTTTTTAACAATTTAAATAATTATCACCCTATCTACTTGGGGCCATCATATCATTGCTTTCTCAAAGAGAGAGTGGTCCAAAGCCATTGTTGCCCAAGTACCGTCCAGAATAAATCTATGCACCATTTGACAACAGTCAGCACACAAAGCATATTCACACGTATATATGTAGCACCACAGTACAGACACAAATAAGCACATCTTCTCGAAGAGACTTTTATTTGCCGTTCTTAAGGCCATGAACAGGAAATACTACTTTGAATGAGGTTCTTCTGACACCACGTGTATATAGATGCCCAAATGCATTTTCACATCCACCTGTATAGAGATATTCAGAAGCAAACACGATCATCTCACACATGCACGCGATCTCTTTGCTGAACCAATAAAAACAATGCACGTCCAGGAAATGTTTATTCGAATTTTATTGTACCTTTCGTAAGCAAAGTGGAAATCATAATCTCACATGATTTCTTTCAAATGGATAAACTTAGACAATTTATCAATGCCTCCTTAAATTTTTACACCACACTGAACTCCAACAGGTTTTTGTTTTAAGGTAAACCAGGTTTTCGGTTCTTCCCCGTGGAGAAGTTACTTTCAAGTCAGTGAAAGTTCTTGGCCCATGATTAAAAGTCTTTGCCAATTAGCACTCAACAACTCCAATTCATTTTTTTCTGGTTCAAGATGAGTAGGAGCCTAATAAGGCTGTGATAAAAGGGCAAAAGGCACTGAGAGCCAAAAGCGGATTAATGAGCTCCTCCGTTTATTTGTCTTCCTAACAGCTGAACTGTTACAACTATTGACACTCTTCAAAAGGTTCCGCTCTGAACCCTGTCCAGGCACTGCAGGCTCCAATGGACATCTTCAAATCCAGAGAATGGAGGGGCAAGAGCTTCCCCTGTGTGATGCCAAAACCAACAAAGCCCCATGGATCAGGTAATGAAACTTCAGCTTTTCCCCCTTTGAGATTTATTTACTGGCAGCTGACAAGGGGCAAATTCAGCTCGAATTGTGCAGTCAAGGCCCTGTCAAGCTTTGAGAGGCACCCTTGTCTTGAAGCACCTTCATGACTGGCATTTCACTCAAAAGCCCTCGGCGCTGGTCCTTAACAGCTTATGACATCACAAAGGACACTCCAGACAGATGCCTACATGGCATCCTGCAGCATTTTAAAAGAGAATTAGTGGTTTTAATTATGGTCGTAGTATGAAAGGGAACCATGCAAGCTCCACAGGAGACCTTTGATCAGACCCTTTTGCTAGTACAATGCCACGGAACTGTGACTATTCCTGGTAAGGGGCCTTTTCTTGCTGAATGACTCACCAGTGATCTTTGAATGCAGACAAGCTTCTAGCCCTCCCTCTTCATTAGTGAGCATTTCTATACAGGGGCCTATATAGCGCTTGGAGTCTAGGAGCTATACAATTGGGGGGAAAAGAATCCCTACAGATTCTGGCCTCTACTTAGGAAGTGCTGAAGGACTCGGAGTGACTTTATTCATTAAAACAGGTTGCTATTAATTAACTGTCATAATAAAATAAAGAACTATTATTTGCATTTCTTACTATGTTCTCTTTAGTAATATGTATAAAAGATGCTTGTAACAGAAATGAATTTATTGATGAACAACCCATCCCCACCTCACACTGCCCCCGTCAATCCCCTTTTTTTTTTTTTTGCATTTTGGCCGCAGGAGCTTACTAATTATTGGGCCCGGATTTATGAATCCAAATAGAAGTAAAACATAAATATAAAATTAAGCAAGGAACTACAAAATTCTTTTTATTTGCCACTTTATGCAACTGAGAGAAAGCAAACAACAGCTTAGCTTTATTTTTTGATGATTTCAGAGAATCATCAAAGACAATAAAACCCCAACTTTTTTCAAAATATCACTGGGTTGGTGTTTAGCTTGAAGTGTGAGATTATGTAATAACCAGAGCTACTCAAAAAAAAAAAAAAAGTATTTTAACTTGAAGAAGAGCAAGATTCACTCTCAAAAAAAAACAAAAATCGCTTTTTGGGAAACAGAAAATGTGTCTTTGGTCTGGTATGAATGTTTCAAGAATTTAACCTCAGAACGGATCCCAGTAAAAGGGCCCTTAAAAAGATCCGCAATCGATATTTAAAGTATATGAAAATAACCTATTCTCTGCTAGCATCCAATCAAGCAAAGTCATTAGGTGAAAGACGGAGGAAGTAGGAAGGTTTTTCTGAAAGATTCTCACTGAAATGCTAATTTGGTAACACTGGATAAACAGAATTTGCATAGGGAGCACATGGCAGTAAGGAGCACAGTATACTGAACAGTATACTGCCCTACCACGTTGCTGATATCTGGGAGCTGACTCGGTCTTCGAGTTTTGTGTACAACTTCTTTTCTTGGAGGAAAAACTTTTGGACTTTGGAATTTTGGAAGCGGGAGGATGAGCAGGTTTTTCACATTCTGCTGCCTCAGACATTTTTCTTATTCCTCAGACTCTGCAGTTCTTTTCTCAGGTGCTTTAGAGCAACTAAAATATCAGGCAGCTGTGGATCATTCCGTGCTTTCTGAGTGTAGAGACGGAAATGTCTGATGGTTTCCGATAACAAGACTTCAGGGTCTGAGTCTCCTGCCCGAAGGCGTAACATCCGCTCACAGGAGATGGCATAGTTCTTGTGCCAGTTCACCGGGTGCTCCTTTCGTAAATAGACAATCTCCTTATAGAGCTGAAAAACGGCAAAAATGTTGGTATTCCATTGTTATCCCTTGACTTTTTTTTCAAAAACCAGAAAACACAGAGGAATTAATAACACAAGGAAAAAAAAATCCAAGCGGCCGATAGTCAAAATCTAATCATTGCTAGGCCATGCAGAAAATGCAAGAATGTTACTGTAATTATGACAGTGGCAGGAGGCAAATGTACTTCATCTAAAACTGCTTCTGGGGTTTTCGGATGTGCAGAGGGAACCTAAGACACACGGTGTCAGGACATAATGCTCTTCCTCCAGAAAGATGTTCTGGGAAAGGGATTTAGTTCTAATTCATGGAAAGCTATTTACTCAACAGGCAGAAAGGTTGAAACTCTAAATTTAGCTGTTAGAGGAAAAAAAATAGCTTTCTTTAGAAAACTGCATGGAAAAAGAACTTGAAGGAATTTAAATTTTGACCCTCATTTTCACATAGATTTCTCTCTACATTAAAAACAACAGTAATAACAATAGCAACAATAAAACAGCTCAAACAAATCCATCATCGAATAGGCTGGGTGTAACAGAATTTAAGAGATGTCCTCACGGCGAGATGCTCTTTGGAGCACCCTATAATTATAATTTTAATAGTTAACACTTTGCCCACAGGAATCAGGAATTTTGTTTTTCCAACATCAGAGATAGCATTAATCGGACAGAGCTGGAATCTTTGGTATTGAGTTTTCCAGGGAGAAACATCAAAATTCAACAAATGAAAGACACAAATCTGCACAACGGGATATTAGACTTGCTTATTTGGAAATTTCACAGCCTTCCTGAGGGCTGTCAGATTGGACTCGGATGTACAGGAACTTGAGGTCAGCAGCAGACTCAACGCGCAAAACAAGCAATGATGCTTTTCTACAGGGACAAGGGCTTTTGCAGTTAGAACTGTATTCATCACATCATTCAGCTGAAAGGAACCCAACAGATCATCTATTGGCCCGACTTCTACTCCAGGGCAGATAAATGCATATGTCATCTTGGTATTTACTAACCTTTAGTCTCCAAGCTGGCCTTTTTTTTTTTTTTTTTTTTTTTTTTTTTTTTTTTTTTTTTTAAGTTTATTATTTTGAGAGGGATAGAGAGTGAGAGTGAGGGAGGGGCAGAGAGAGGGAGAGAGAGAAACCTAAAGTCTCCGTGCTGTCAGTGCAAAGCCTGGCTCATAGCTCAAACTCACCAACCGTGAGGTCATGACCTGAGCTGGTATCAAGTCGGATGCTTAACGGACTGAGCCACCCAGGTGCCCCCAAGCTGGCTTTTAAAGCAGTTGGCCCATGCGCTTCTTTCACTCCGTAACAAAGGAAACGGTCACCTCGCACTTGCATGTACGTGGAAACTGTGATGCTATCTTCCACTCCTCCATTCTCTTGGTCAGTTATCCAATGTTTCCCTGTCTTTCCTCAGGTTTTTTTTCATTTTTTTTCTCTGTCTGCTGCTTCTTTTTCCAAGCCTTGCTGACAGGCACAAAGCAGGCACCCAAGAACTGTTCAGAAAACGGTTCGGCTTTCAGAATCCCACCTGGGTTCTGGAGTTCAACACAGAGGCCAGCCCTTCAGTGAGCATTTCCCCAACGGCTCAAGAGGATGAGAGGCTCACTCATGACCTCCCTGTTACAGTCATTAGAGATCAGAATGAACATACCACCCGTCTCTCGAACACTTTGTTACCGACGCATCGTCAACTTCTACCAGGTGGCCTGTTAAGCCACGTGTGCTGTATCTTTTTTTTTTTTTTTAATTTTTTTTTTTTTTTTTAATTTTTTTTTTTTCAACGTTTATTTATTTTTGGGACAGAGAGAGACAGAGCATGAACGGGGGAGGGGCAGAGAGAGAGGGAGACACAGAATCGGAAACAGGCTCCAGGCTCTGAGCCATCAGCCCAGAGCCCGACGCGGGGCTCGAACTCACGGACCGCGAGATCGTGACCTGGCTGAAGTCGGACGCTTAACCGACTGCGCCACCCAGGCGCCCCATATGTGCTGTATCTTAAGAAGCCGGTCATTTCTCATCACATGGAATTACGTTTCCTCCTCTATGTGAATGTTACCGTGACATTAGTCTTAGCAGACTGTATTCTATTTAGTGGGGACACCAACTTATCGAATGCATTCCTAAAGCTAATGGTGATAGTCCCTGCTCCCCCACTACACCTGAACTTAATGTCTCCTGAACTGAAAGTTCTGCATCAGCTATTGAGTGGAATACTATACACAATGTCTTACACCTAACAAGAACGTTCTTGAAATACCAGTACTGGGGGGGTGGGTTTGTGTTGACCCATCAAGTATTTGACCTCATTTGTCTTGCAAACAAAGTCACATATCTGGAGGCATATGCAAAGAAGACACCCACGGACTTGTGTCCACTGGAAAGAGTAAAGCTTCCAGGTCCAAAGGGACAATGAATCCGTGAATTAGCTTCAGTGGCGCCCTAGCAACGGTGGCCATGGAACAGGTCACTGATGAGGATATGAGGTATCAGTAAGTCTCAGAGATTTCTCCCAACTAAATACTATTTGTTTTTCATGGAATCACAGGGTATGAGAGATGAACAGGATATGACATGACCAGGGCGTGAGAGATAATTAACAAAGCTTAAAGCCCACTTTTATTTTTAGAAAAAATTGAGGCCTGGAATGTTTAACTGACTTACAGTTGACAATTAGTGGTGGAGTAGGCCTTGAACCTGGATCTTCCAAATGCCAGACAGAACTCCAGCTTGCTGCCTCCTGCAATCGATCCCTTGCTGTCCTCGAGTGGGCACCTCGGAGGGTTCTGCCTTTGTCCCTATCGACTGTCCTTCCTCGCCCACTCTCTCACTACCCTGCCCACAGTCTGTCTGGCTAGCTCGTCTGAGCTTTCAAGATGACACTCCAGTGACATCTCCGAAGACTTCCCCCTCCTTCCTCACCACCCCTCGCCAGAGGGGTGTACTCACGTACAGTGTGCTGTTCCCACAGCACCTCTGCAAGACTGAATGTAACCGAGGACTCTATCTTCTGTCTCCCTCTCTAGCCTGCTACCTCTTTGGTAGCAGGGACAATACTTGGTCATCTCCAACACAATATTTGGCACAGACTGGGCGATCAATAAGCGCTCTGTGAGTAAATGAATAAATGAACAATGAACCCACGATCACAGAATTTAGGAGTAAAATGAGTCCTACGGATTGGACGCTGTGTGATTTTGACTTAGCTCTAAACCACTGCCCTGGTGAGTAGACCCACAGCACCTAGAGGCTGCGGAAACACCTCAGGTGCTCACATATATGGCTCCCGGGCTCTGGTCTCACTGGCCCATGCCAGGACATCTGTTTCCTACATAGTAGGCTCCAAGATGATCCTTGAAGGTGTCTGAGGAACCCAGGGCTAGAAGTCACAGAAAAGAAGGGGCTCGTTAAAACGGAGCAACAGCAAGCCTGTGCTCCACCCTCTCTTTTCCCGTCAGTGAGGACCGCCTACACAAGAGTCTGTGTGTGGCCGGGCCATCTGAAGGTTGGGTTGGCTTCAGTCAGAAGACAGGGCCACAGTCAGAAGACAGAGCCTCTTGCCAAGACCCTTTATCTTTCTCATGAAATCCCACCCAGCCAGGAACCTATACTTTCGAGTGCAGCCAGGGTCATGACTTTTGTCTAGAGGGCAAACCTGTCAGAACTTGTCTGGTGGTGACTGTTTCCTGTTCCAATGGCTTCCTATTAGTTTCCTCTGCTGTTGTAACAAATCAGCACAGACATAATGGCTTAAGACAGTATACATTTATTATCTTACCCTTCTGGAGGTCAAAATGCATAAAATCGAGGATTTTGTAAAAGCAGCAGCGCTGTGTTCTTCGAGGAGGCTCTAGAATCTGTTTCTTTGCCCTTGGTGGCTTGCAGAGGCTGCCTGCACTCCCTACCTTGTGGCCCCTTCCTCCCATCTTCCATGCCAGCCACGTAGCGTCTTCGAATCTTTTCCTCTGACCTCTGCTTGCATCATCACGTCTCCTTCTCTCTGACCCTCCTGCCTCCTTCTTAAAAGGGCCAGGTGATTATGCTGGGCCCACCTGGATAATCCAGGATAATCTCCCCACCTCAAGATCCTTAACTTAATCACATGAGCAAAGTCCCCTTTGTCACGTAAGGCCGTATATTCACAGGTTTCAGAGATTAAGACATGGACATCATTTGCCAACCACACTGGTTACTTTAGACATTATTTATGATGTACGAGTAGTTTTCCATTTATACTGCTTTATAAAAGCCATATGAAACTAGAAACAAAAAAGTAAAAACTCTACTGGGATACACACTCCCTCCGTTCTAATCCCCACCACCTTCCTCCCAAATATATTTATATATATAAAAATGGAACATACGTTATATGCGTGAGTGTAGAGTTGAGCCTTCACATTTGGAGGTACATTTGCTGTTTCTGCCAGGTTAAAGATGAAGAACGGGGTTTTCATCCTGGGAGTGTGGGGGTGGGTGGGAATCTTCATTAAAACCATGATGTCAAATTTCACACGTACAGCTACATCGACCAGATTTTTCCACTGATAAGGAACACACCAAACCCTTTACTGCATTGTTTGTACCTCTCCCATATTCACAGAAGTTTATTCTGAACCAACAGCAACTCCTTCTTTCCCCACTGCCAACACGCTGCATCCGCACTGCTTGCCAAAGTTTTTAGAAAAAGAGCTTAAATTCATCATCGCTATTATACATCATTTCATTCTTCCTCCAGATGCACATTACTGTCATGCAGGAGCAGCCAGGAAGGGGGAGACTTGCTGAGTTTGTCAGTACACCCCTGAAGGGACCCATCGCCACGGCTCATGCCACGTGTGACGAGTTCTTGCAAAGGTAGCTGGACTCTTTGACCACATGCACTCATCCAAACTGTATTCAGCACGCCCGTTAAATCAATACCTGCCTGAATAATGACTGGCTTCCTTCTTTTAGGTGATTTCCCCCCCAGCTTTCCTACATTCAGTCACAGTAAAGTGTTGTACAAACATACGGTGCGGTGCATCTTTGATCAGTTCTTCAAAGCAAGTATTTGTCCCTATAGCTAGGCTGATAACTTGAATTATGCTGTTTTCTGGCTTTTCAAAAAACACTATTGCATAAACCACAGTACATCTATTTTTGTAATTGCTATTTTGGAGCTGTATTTCTGGACACTTTTTTTAAAAGCTCTTTAAACTTATGTAAATCCTTTATATCATAACTCAATCCTCAGTGTGGAGCACAGTCCCGGGCTCAGATTGGGCACCCTTCCTTTGCCGAAGGAAGTACTTCCTATGTACTTGGTATCACCCTCTGTATACCACTTAGGACTTTCATATTAATATCCAGGCCAAAGTCTGTTAGCGTTAGAGATTTTGAATGTTTCAAAATAATGGCAGTCAACGGCATCACCACAACGTGTTCCATACAGGCACAACAGGAAAGTATAGCATCTAGGACGTTGATATTCAAATCTGCTCCCTTAGACTGTAAGCCCCTCGAGGGCAGGAAATGTGTTGTATTCATATGTGTAGCTTCCAAGCCTGGCATGGTGTCTGGCCTCTGGGAAGTATTCAGCAGGTGCTTAATTAAATTAGCACATTCCACATGGATCCAGGGCAGTATTAACTGCCCCTCAACAATTACACTCGCTTTGGTTTACTCGAGGCGGAGAGAGAGCACCGGAGCACAGCGCTGTGCCTGAGTCAGGGAGATGTGAGTTTCAGACTCCCATCACTTGCAGCAATCTGGCATTGGCCAGTAACCTCTCTACCTTCAGTGTGTTTCTTTTGTAAGATGGGGATAATAGTAACTTCTTCATAGGTTGTCGTGAGGATGAAATGGGATTATTAATGTACAATGATTAGCACAACGCCTCAAACAAAATGACCGCTCATAAATGTTATTTTTATCATACCACTGACCCCCTACCCTACTGGCTGCTTCCCTGCCATATGAAAAACAGACCACAAACACGTAAGTGTAGGACAGTCACCTTGCTTGCCACATCTCTTCGTTGGCCACAGATTCCCAAGAAGATGGGTCAAACCTGCAGTTACAAGAAAGCAGTGAGAGTTTTCTGCAAGCTACGTTTATTGCTACAGGCAGGTATGGAATCCTTGTTTTATAATCTTACAAGGCAATAAAATAGGTTGGATCTTGAAGTACTGATAGGGACGGAAATAATAAACTTATCCTAGAAAAGTCTGATCCTTAGGAACTTGAAATTTTGGTAAATGTATTCTTCATCTGCATAATGAGCCCCGGTGCCTCATGGGAGCAAACGAAGGATTAGTGGGAAGAGGTTGGAGGCATCTGAGGAACCAGCTGTTCCCAAGAACTGCAAGATGGGCAACAGGGCAGGGGCGAGGCCTCGGTCACTCTATGGACACAGCTAAGAGCCAAACAGCTGTGAAGCTAGGGGATAAGCTTGAGAGAGGGGACTCGTGGCTTTGATAAAAATCACTGCTGGAGCCAGGACGCTGCTCAAAGAACAATGGCTAAACCATCTGCTGGATTTTGACTTCTCTTAATTAAATTTCTTATTATGTGTCTATTTTGATGGAATGGAAATAACGAGTGGTGTCCTGTATTTGTGCTATGGTCACTGTTGGCAGAAAAGGTTATTTTCTTTCTTTTTTTTAAAGTAAGCTCTACGCCCAAGGTGGGGCCCGAACGCACAACCCCAAGATCAAGAACGGCACACTCTACTGATCGAGCCAGCCAGGTGCCCAGAATAGATTATTTTCTAACTTCTCACAATGGTCATGGAGTGCTTTTTTTTAAATATACATAGGTAAGTTTATTTATTTATTTTGAGAGAGAGTGAGCAAGTAAGAGCGGGGGGAAGGTCAGAGAGGGGGAGAGGGAGAGACTCCCATGCAGGCTCCCCATTGTCAGCGTGAAGCCCACCATGGGGCTCGAACTCACAAACCATGAGATCATGACCTGAGCTGAAATCAAGAGTTGGACACTTAACCGACTGAGCCACCCAGGCACCCCTATGGAGTGCTTTGATATAAACCTACTTCTCATCTCTGGTTGGTGCACTGTGGACTGTTTGCACATATTGATTCAAAAAACCTTTGTAGCATTTTTCATATGATCTCGCCTGTCCTTGAATTATAAGCAATAATTTTTTTTTTAATGTTTATTTACTTTTGAGACAGACAGAGACAGTGCATGAACGGGGGAGGGTCAGAGAGAGAGGGAGACACAGAATCCGAAGCAGGCTCCAGGCTCTGAGCTGTCAGCACAGAGCCTGACGCGGGGCTCGAACTCACAGACCGTGAGATCATGACCTGAGCCGAAGTCGGACGCTTAACCGACTGAGCCACCCAGGCGCCCCTATAAATAATAATTATCTAATCTTTAAGTAATTCATAACTTAAGAAATAGTCAAGAGAAGCACATTTCTAGAGATGGTGACTCAATTTTCATATGGGTGAGAGTCAGCTCTATAGAGATGCTTCAAGGAAGACTGATCACACCCCCAAACAACATAACCAGGATAATGACTTTTTCCTAATGAGTAGGAAAAAGTTACTCAAGGGCCAGTCTCCTCTATAGACAAGTTATGTGCTACTCCTGAAGAGAGGAAAATATGGCAAGTTCGTGCGCATAAAAACTCTCACGGGAAACAGTACCTTGTAAAGCTCTACTGCAGTTGATGGATCTCTTCCACCTTTAGGGTGCGAGACAGAGGATGGTGGACAATATGGCGTCACAAGAGCTGGAAGCGGAAGGTGCAGGGCACCAACCTGTTGTGGTGCCCACTCAACTGCAGCCCCCCCTTCCCCTCCCATCTCCCTACTGTTCTTCAAACATGAGAACAAGAAATACATGTTCTCTGTTACAATTCATGTGGGCAGCAAATAATACTAATAACTAATTTAAAAAAATCAAAACTATTCATAGGCATCTCAAAATTTAGTTTTTTAAGCACACAAAACTGCCATACTCTGATGAAAAACAGAACTGCTGTTCCTACCTTCCATATTCTTCGGTCCAGTTATAGATATTTCTTGTGAGTTTAATCCATTCCTCGGGGTTGAATACAATCTCCGAAGGAACTAATTTGTCACAAGAACCCCAAGGCCAAAGTGAATAGTTCTTTTTCCAGGTTGGGTCACCTTCATGAATTCCTATGCAAACGAATGTTTTCTTCCTATTGAAAACAGAAAAGAAAATATTTTTAACTCAAAGTTCTAAATGTTAATAAATACAACTCATAAAGGGTCATTTTTGACTCCTTGAACCTTGGTTAGCAATAAACAATTGGTAAACCTTTCGGTTTATTTAAATCTTTCCCAAATAGACCGTTTAGAATTTATATTAGTGCAAAAAAAGCTGTTTGGGGAGAGCTGGGGAGAAGTTAACAGACATAAATAATAAAACCTACCTGCTCAAAACATAAGAAATCATTTGGGGACAAGCATTATTATAATGAAAGAAAGCTTCTGTGGTCCTGTTTCACATGTAAACTTAAACATTATTTGACACCTTTCTTTTTTCATTTTACAGGTGGAAATATACATCTTCATTTGTTTCCCTGCTTAGAAGTAGTTTCTCCTTCCTCAAATTCCCATTGCACTTTCTTCTTCTCTTTTATTGTTACTGTATTGTACTTATTGTTTGCATTCACAAATCTCCCCAAGTAGCCCAGAAGCATCCTGAGGATAGGCTCTCTATCTCTGAATTAACTCTAAACCACACATAGCAGGATGCTTAGCTAATCCACCATATTTGCTGACTAAAATCAATTAGATTGAATAAACTATAAAAAGCTTCAAATCCTGCAAAAATTAGGAATAGAAATGGTTTAAAAAGGTTGGTTTAAACTCACTATAATCGAATAGTTCTGTTCCAATTTGTGGTGTGTGACTGGGTAGCTATTACGAAATAGGAAAAAAGACGTATATTAGAAGAAATTACTTGAAAGTAATAAAAGACGCCATCAACTTTGAAACAAGATACTTCCAGCTTAGATTTTAGGTTTTTTCCCACCATCTCTGACCTCTGTGATTTGGAGGAAATTACTTAACTACCTGTGTCTAGTCTCCTCAGCTGTGAAATGGGCAAACCCTCTCAGAGCTGTTCAAGATTAAGTGGGGATCTGATACCAAAGTGCGGTTTTATTTTTATTTTTATTTTTATTTATTTATTTATTTATTTATTTTTTTAATTTTTTTTTTCAACGTTTATTTATTTTTGGGACAGAGAGAGACAGAGCATGAACGGGGGAGGGGCAGAGAGAGAGAGAGACACAGAATCGGAAACAGGCTCCAGGCTCCGAGCCATCAGCCCAGAGCCTGACGCGGGGCTCGAACTCACGGACCGCAAGATCGTGACCTGGCTGAAGTCGGAGGCTTAACCGACTGCGCCACCCAGGCGCCCCACCAAAGTGCGGTTTTAAAACAGAATAAGAGTTCTGGTTTTGGGGAAGATGGAGGAAGCACGCTCCACTCTGTCTCCCCCACTGCATACTAGACTTCTTGGACAGAACGCCTGGAATCTGAGGACTCTGAAGAGTAAATGGCAGAAACAAGCACAGGGAAAGACACCGGAATTCTGAGTTCTACCAAACCTGTGGGGAGTTTACCATTTCCCCACTGCTGATATTGCCTAGCCTGGACTCAAGGGAAGCCTAATGCCAGGTGAGGACAAAAAGAGCTCCAAGAAAAGCCCCTGTTTTCAAGCCCAAGAAGGAGGAAAGGGAAGGCTGGGGAGAGTAGAGGAAATCCCCTGGATCTCCCCTCCTCTCCTTCCCCAGGCACCAGGAAGTACTGTGCCAGTTACAGAGGCAACAGCACAGCGACGGCAGGGGCAACCAGCAGGTTCCTACAGTTCTGAAGGCAAGGAACACCTCTCTAATCAGAGGAGCTGTGGCTGCAAGAGCCAGGAGCAAATCCTCACTGCTCTTTACCTCTGTGCGGCCTCTGGCAGCCTGGCCCCAGACACAGACACAGTCACAGGACTTGCGTGGCAGGTGAGGGAAATTAAAGCTCCAGCTTTCCGGCCAAACAACCAGGAAAGAAGGCTCCAAAGAAGGAAAAGGGCAAGAGTGAAGACAGAAAGGAGGGAGGTCAAGAGAGCAATCCCATGAAGTTGTGTAGGAACTCCTGGCATATCTCCGAGCTCAGCATGCATGGATCTGACCCTAAATAGACTCTGAGAAATGAGTCACTGGACAGATGGCCACCCAAGGCCCAGACTGAGTAATGGGCAGCACACAGGGATTGATTCAGATCGCACTGCAAATGCTTTGAAAACAGAACCAATATTGGAACTACAGGACACAGAAGGCAGGTCAGAATTTGCAGCCTGAGATTTACCTGGCTGACAGCCTGCTACACCAACAAACAAACAAATCAACATTCTCGTTAGGATTTAAATAAGGCCCAAATATCCAAAATGTCCAGGATATAATCCAAAAATGATTTGGCTTATAAAGAAGCAGGAAAATCTCAATTCACAAGGGAAAATATAATCAATAGATGTGAATTCCAAAATGGTACAGATGTTAGAATTGCCAAAGACTTTAAAATATCTATTATAACAATGCCCCAAGAAGTAAAGGCAAATACTCTTGAAATGAATAGAAAAATAGAAAAATCTCAACAAAGAAACAGAAGATATAAAAAGGAACCAAGTAGAAATTACAGACCTGAAAAATATGATGGAAATTAAAAATTCATTAGATGGGCTTAATGTAAGTCTGGAGAGAGAGAGAGAGAGGGAGGAAGACAGAGAGAGAAGCAGACAGTAAACTGAATGGTGACAGATCAAGAGAAATGAGACGATTTAAACCACAAGCAAAAAGACTGAAAAAAAAAAAAAAAAGTACAGTCTCATGCACCTGTGAGACAGTGCCAAAAGGTCTAATGTTCATGTCATCAGAATCCCCGGTGGAGAAGAGAAAAAATGTGAAGCAGAAAAAGTATTTAAAGAAATAATGTCAAAAAATCTCCCAAATTTTGTGAAAGACACAATCTTACAGATTTAAGCAGCTCAGCGAACACCAAACAGGTTAGACTTAAAGAAATCCATGCTCAGATACGCCATAACCAAACTGCTAAAAACCAAAGACACAATCTTGAAGGCAGCCACAGAAAAACAACACATTTCACACAGAGAACAATGATGATGATATCCTGGGATCAAAAGAAGGGCAACAGATATGATAAATATCTAGATACATACCTTAAATTATTTTTTCTCTTAAATTAAAAAATATATGTATGACAGATGAAAACAAAAATTATCAAGTATCTGGTATCATTAATATATATGATAACACAAAAGTGAGGAGGTTAAAGGGACTTATATGGCAGTAAGTTTTCTATATGCCACTCGAAGTAGCAAAATATTAATCCTAAGTAGACTGTGAAAAGTTATGTATACTGTGATTCTCAAGATCAACTGTTAAAAAAAAATTTACCAAGAGACATAGCAAACAACTGAATAATTTAAAATGGAATACTAAAAAAATCAAAATTTCCAAAATATGACAGGAAAAGGGAAGCAGTGGACTGAGAAACAGAGGGAACAAACTGAGAGCAAATAATGAAATGGTAGACATACATCTAAATACGTCAATATTTTCATGAAATGCAAATGGTCTAAATACACCAATGAAAAGATAGACATTGTCAGAATGGAAAATAAAACAAGACCCAGATATATGCTGTCTACAAGAAACCCACTTTAACTATGATATGGGTGGTTAAGAACAAAAGAATAAAAAAGATAGAACATGAAAACACTACTCAAATTAAAACCCAATCATGGGGCGCCTGGGTGGCGCAGTCGGTTAAGCGTCCGACTTCAGCCAGGTCACGATCTCGCGGTCCGTGAGTTCGAGCCCCGCGTCAGGCTCTGGGCTGATGGCTCAGAGCCTGGAGCCTGTTTCCGATTCTGTGTCTCCCTCTCTCTCTGCCCCTCCCCCGTTCATGCTCTGTCTCTCTCTGTCCCCCCCAAAAAAAAAAAAAAAAAAAAAAAAGTTGAAAAAAAAAAACCCAATCAAAAACCCAGAAGAGTTTTTTCTTTTGTAGATACAAAGATGAAAATGCCATTTAATGAAGAAAGGATGTTTTCAACAAATATTAGGACAACTTGACATTTATACACAAAAACAAAACAACAACAAAGAATCCCCAAGAACCTTGTCTTAATCCCTTGCCCTCTTACAAAAAGTAACTCAAAGTGGATCACTGATATGAAATGTAAAAGATAAAACTATTAAACTCCTAGAAGAAAACACGTGAAAATCTTTGTGACCTGACATTGGGCAAAGAGTTCTTGGGTACGACACCAAAGAGTATGATCCATAAATGAAAAAAAATGATAATTGGATGTCATCAAAATAAAAAATTTATCTGCAAAAGCCACTTCAAAAAAGAATAAAAGTCAAGCTACAAAATTTATGAATCACATATTTGCTGAAGATTTGTACCTACCATACAGAAAGAATTTTTAAAACTCAATAGTTAAGAAAACAAACAATCCAATCATCCCACTCATGTTCACACACAAACCTGTACATGAATGTTTACAGCAGCTCAGTCCCCAACCTGACAACCCAAATGTCCTTCAACAGGTGAACTGATAAACAAACAGGAACATCTATAGAATGGAATACTACTCAGCAACGAAAAGGAACTGTTCTCTATCCTGATTGTTGTGGGGGTTATCCATGTATTCCACATGGATCTGTTCTGTATCCTAATTGTTGTGGGAGTTATATAAATGTATACATGTGTTAAAATTCATAGAACTATACATAAAAAAATATCACTGCATCTTAAAAATAAAATAGTAAGTGTTCAATAATATTAGCTTTGTTCCTTTTAAAAAGTGCCCATTTAGAAAGCTTTCGTGTGATGCTGATGGCTCAATGCTTTGGGGGAAAAAATCTCTATCAAGTGCCTTACAATTGTTCATGTACTTTGACTTAGTAATTTCACTTCTGAGAATCTATTCTAAGAATTCAAACTTCTATCCCCTCCAAAGAAAACTATATACACAAAGTCATTTGTTGTAGTATATAATTTTATGATAGTTAAACATTAAGATATTCTATTAACTATCTACTCATAGTTCCTTTCCCCTCTTATTATTAAAATATAGTACATGTACCTACTAAGAATAGTTTGTAAAAACATTAAAAAATGGTTTCATGATATTCAATGGAAAGACAGGATTCTTCCGCATTATGCTTTCAACTTTGTAAAATTTTTGATTTATTTGTATATGTGTAATAGAACCATATTTTTTCTAGTTAAAAAATTTTTTTCTTGGGGTGCTTGGGTGACTCAGTCAGTTGGGCGTCCGACTTCGGCTCAGGTCATGACCTCACAGTTTGCGAGTTTGAGCCCCACGTCGGATTCTATTCTATTCTATAATGAACAAGGCTAACACTAAACTAAAAATTTTATTTAAAAAAAATTTTTTAATGTTTATTTATTTTTGACAGAGAGAGAGAGAGAGAGACAGAGCATGAGCAGGGGAGGGGCAGAGACAGACAGGGAGACACAGAATCCGAAGCAGGCTCCAGGCTCTGAGCTGTCAGCACAGAGCCCAACGCGGGGTCGAAGTCACAGACTGTGAGATCATGACCTGAGCCGAAGTCGGATGCTCAACTGACTGAGCCACCCAGATGCCCCCAAAATTTTATTTTAAAAACTGATACCAATAAGCAATATTTATCTTGAGGCCTTGGTTAATCAAAAATATTAACAAAAATTTATGGGCCAGAAAGTTTATCACCATGCTATATTATAATAGTCAAAGTCTTCTAGACTTCACAAAAATGTCCAAAAATAGAATATTTGTTATCATGCATCTACATGAGAATATTAAACAGTCAAGAAATGATGGTAATAAAAGTATTTTTCTGAGTACATGGGGAAATGCTTATGATATGGTATTAGGTGAAAAAACTGAACAGAAAACTATTATCTCAGCTAGTATTGTAGGAGTCTGTGAGAGTGTATATGTGTTTGTAGAAGTAAATAATTGATGTTAAAAATGAATGAAATTCCGAAAAGCTTACCAAGATGTTATCAGTGGATATCTTAAAGACAGATAGTATTGATCTTCTTTATATTTATTTGCCTGTATTTTTTAGAATTTCCACATGGAGCATAGAGTATTTCTGTAACAGGGACATGCCTCATTCATGCCAATGGCCAATGGGGTAATGCCTTTCACAATCTGGGCCTCCCTGTGCCTCCCCACTCATCTCTTCACCTAGCCCTTTAAGCCCGTGTTCCAAGCTTACTGGACCACTCCCAGTTTCCCCAGGGCTCAGCAGGCCCTTCCCATGACTTTGCACGTGCACTTCCCTTGAATTGGCCTTCTCCTACCCACTTGGCAAATTCCTACTTAGTCTTTAAATCTCCAACATTATGTCCATACTGACACTTCCATGCTTACCAGATGACAATGTAATTTATCTGCCTCATATTTACAGCACCACCTGAAACCCTCTCCAAAAGACTGCAACAGCAGGGGTCATGCCCATGCATCTGTAGCTTATATAGTTGTTGGGTCATTTTGGACAGTCAATTATTTATTAAATAAATGCTGAATGAATGCCTCCAGGCAGAATTAATTGCTTCTTCACCCATGCTCCCAGTTAAATCATCCTCGGTAAACACATATTGAACATTGACTGGGTCTCACACTTCACAAAGCTCGCCTAGCATAGTAGAGAGCTTACCCCATTATATTATAGCCAGTTATACTCATATCTATGTGTATATACAACAAGATTGTGGTCTACTTAAACTTGGAACTGAGTCTCACTTTATTGCCAAGGCCTCACATAGGCTGGAGCATAGTAGATTCAATAATGTTTGTGGGGTTGAATTAAATAAAATTAACCAAAAAAATGTCCATTTAGGGATGTTAATGGCTCTTAATATCTTATTCAAAAATAGAACAATTAAAATGACTCTCACAGAACATTTATACTCATTACTTATCACTTCATTAGCCACAGTAAACTTCAGGTTCTGAACACCAAAAGTACCATGTTATCAAATTCTTAGTAAGGGATAATTTAACTTGGGAATTTAGAAAGAATTTCTTAAATCCCCTTTGTAAGAGAATAGAAATTATGAAATACGTTTTCTTCTTCACACTCTGGACAATCTCAAGCATTTCATGGATAGGAAAAATGTTCAACACTCTACCACTGAAGGAGTTATTTATTCTTGACCTTAACTATGAATAATTTTACGTTCTTAAGTCTAGAATTCACAGTTCTCATATGTTATCTCAGCCAGCATAACTGTAGGTGTTTTTCTTATTTACAGAAATGCCTTATCCTTTATTAGAAAAATCCTTAAGCTATTTTTATATAGTGATTATTCCTGGAAAAAATTTGCTTTACACTTAAAAGGGGGCCATGGTGTTGATCGGGGGGAACTATAATTGCTTGAGATCCACCTGCAACGATTTCAAGTAGACAGGCACATCTCCAATTTCTCTGAATTATACTAAGATCTTATTTGCTATTCTTGTTAATCTGTCCTATTTTTCCTTTACCCAGAACAATAACATTTATTTCTGCCTGGCCTCATTTATGCACAGATATTCAATTTAATTACAAAGATAATCTCACCGGTGACAGGGAAATAGGTGTAGAAAATTGGTCTTTTGGATGAGGCACAGCTGCTACATAAACAATTTTAGAAAAGCTTAAGATTTTAGAAAAGCTATTATATGAAAAGAATGCTTACTGTTTATTTATTTCAAGAAAATGATAAAGATTAAATGTGACCATTCCACTAGGTAACATTCCTTCCACAGGATTCCACCGGTTTCCAGGAAAGCTGACACCTGGTAAGTGCTTTGCCATCTTGGGTAAATACCACTCATAAGTCATCATCTATCAGAAAAATAATAAGTGATGTCATATTTTTGATATACTTCTTAAAAAAGAATCAAGTTGACCAAGTACAATGAAAAAGTTCTAAAATGTGGGTATTATACTCATTAAATATTAACATGATTGAAAAATATGAACAAGCACAACCGAGGTATTCGCCACTGACTACTCCTCTAAATGACTTTAACCTTGGATTTCATTTCTTAAGCTGCGCCTACTATTGGTAACCTAAGCACTTAGTTTGATCTTACCTGCATGCACTTGACGGACGCACTGGCCAGAATGACCTTCCCCTGTCTCACACCTAGAGAATGTGTGCCCAACTTTCAGACCAAGCTTAAGTATCACTTCATCCATGATGCCCTCCCCAGGTTCCACCGCAGAATGATAGGCTCCTATAGCACCTTGTACCTACCTCTGTCACAGCTCTTACACTACTCACTAGACTGTGAGCTTCTCGAGGGAAGGGACTGTATGTTTTCATCTTTGTGCCTCTGCACCTAGCACAGTGCCTGGCATTAAATGGTTCTCAGATTATGTTTGCTGAAGTTGGAAGGTCTTTGGTGGCCAGGCTAGACAACCTGGGCAAGATACAGAGATGTGTCATTACTCGGCTCTTTTGTTCATCCATTTACTCCAGAAACAAGTACTGCCCACCTACAATGAAGAAGATAAAATCCCTGCCCTTGAGAAGCTCAACGTATGACAATCTAGACCTCAAAGAGAAAAATTATCTGAATGTATCAGTATGTCCAAATTGTATATTCTCACATGGTCTTTTGATTAAAATAAATCATCAATATCAGGAAAAATCATTATTTCTTAATTCTATACTTAGTATATCCTTATCTATACTTTCATATGTACAGATTTACTTTTTTTTTAAAGAAAAGACTCCCATTTACACCTTCAAAGCTTTGTTATCGTTTAGATATTACCTTTTGAGCAATTATGCTTATGTGTTACTTGCTTTATATAAGTAATTTAACTAGAGATGACAAATTAATTTTAATCTAGGTGTACATTGTAAATACTCAAACATACTTATTGAATTAGATCTTATGACCCAATAGTTTCAGTTCTTAGGGATATTAACATTAATTCAACACCTTCTATATGCTACAACCTTAATATTTCTCATCTAATTCTCATAGTAACCTTATTGCATAGTAATCACATTAGACACTGCTGGGTGCCTACTCAACAGCTAATACCCTCTTCTTCCTCACTGACACAATCCTGACTTTGACCTGGTAGTCCAGGGCAGCTCCATGCTTGGGTCTAGTCTTTCCCTTTTGCCAGCAAGGAGTTTAGGAATTAGCATATGACCCAATACTGATTAGAGGGGGGCCCTCGGGGTGGTCTGTTAGGGCTTCTGGGGCACATGTTACTCTCAACAGAGAGGGGAAGAGAGATAGGAGGTTGGCGGGGGGCAGGGGACTGGGGGGAGAGAGAGAGAGAGAGAGAGAGAGAGAGAGAGAGAGAGAAAGAGGAGGGGAGGAGACAGGAGGAGAGGCACTTTGCTTCCTTTTAGGATGTGATGCTTGGAACTGGACATTCATCAGTTCAAGATGGATGTAGAAAAGTGGGCCTGGAACACTGACATCACTTGAACTGCTTGTATTATCCATCCTAAAACCTCCTATCTTCAGACTACTTCTTACGGGAGATTAAACACTCTATAGTTTAAGCTACTCTTAGGTATTTTGTTTCTTGCATTCAAAAGCATCCTAACTTAAATGATGATCATTTCCATTTTATAGATCAGGAGACAGAAGCTCTGAGAGGAAAAATCATTAGCCCCATGTCACACATCCTGGAAGTGACAGAATGAGGACTTGAATTTAGGTCTAATTAACTTTGAAATCCACGCTTTTCAACGATAGTGACTGCCGTCCTAAACAGTATTTTAAAATCATGGTGGGATACCACATTATCAACTAATAACCTTGCTTTTGTCAGAAGCTAGGTTGAAGATCAAATTAATCAATTTGTGTACCTGATATAAAAGCAAACTGCTTACAAAAAATGTGTAATTTGCAAGTTTCCCCATATTTGCAAATCTGTTTATCCAGTTTTCTCCAAAAAATTCCAATTATTCATTAATTCAACAAAATTTATTAAGTATTGTGCCTACTCATTTGCTCAAATTAATCATAGTATTAAGATTAGTATAAAGATTAGGAATTCTCTCTCCCTGATGACTGCTCTAAAAACACCAGAGATAGATTTGTTCCCTTTTAGGTATTTATGGTTTAAATTAGAAATCTTATAGTTTAAATATATTTCTTCAGTTCCGGAAGATTGTTTTTTTTTTTTTAAGTTTTTTTTTTTTTAACGTTTATTTATTTTTGAGACAGAGAGAGACAGAGCATGAACGGGGGAGGGTCAGAGAGAGGAAGCCACAGAATCTGAAACAGGCTCCAGGCTCTGAGCTGTCAGCACAGAGCCCGACGTGGGGCTTGAACCCACGGACCGTGAGATCATGACCTGAGCCGAAGTCAGACGCTTAACCGACTGAGCCACCCAGGCGCCCCAATTCCGGAAGATTGTTTTAATAGACCTGGAAATTTTCACAAGTCCTCTCCAAACGTATTTTTGTCACAAGACCAACAAAGTTTACTCAAAATTCTATACCAGAATTGGGGTTAATAATTTCTACTTAGAATGAAATGTTTACTTACCTGCAGTATAACTTATTTTATATTCAACCTAAAATATTTTAATCTCTGGACCAGTGGGCAGTGTTAATTTGAATGGCTGTGTTGGCCAAATATATTATTTGATTCTACCATGAAAAACATTAATTCTTAAAACATTCAGTTTAGAAAAGTTTTTAAAAATATTTATTTACTTTTGAGAGAGAGAGAGAGACAGAGACAGAGTGTGAGCAGGAGATGGGCAGAGAGAGAGGGAGACAGAATCCAAAGCAGGCTCCAGGCTCTGAGCTGTCAGCACAGAGCCTGATGTGGGGCTCAAACTCACAAGCGGTGAGATCATGACCTGAGCCAAAGTTGGACACTTAACCGACTGAGCCACCCAGGCGCCCCCAAACATTCTGTTTAGATGAGAAGGAACCAATTCATATGGCTTATACATTAGTTAAAATAAACAAAAGAACATGATGTATATTCTAAGAGTTTTCATGAAAACTGTACCCATCCACTGTTAAAAAAGTTTAAAAAATATTTGCTTTAAAGCGATTACTGTTACTATATTCTAAGTATATTTTTCACATACTTACTTCCTGATCCACTAGTGAAATATCTGGCCTCAGTCCCTCGCAATAATGCATGTAACGGAGAGAATTCCCTGGCAAATCTCCTCTGAGTAAGATAATTGCATCATGAGGCATAGAGGCTAGAAGGTTCTTTGCAAATTTATCAATAACATAGTTGGTCCTTTGGTCACAAATGCTAAACAAAAGAATAAAGAAACATTAAAATAGCAACATACTGCTACAGTTTCAACAAGACTGGATTTATTTTCGGCACCATTCTTTTCCCATCACGCACTCTACATGTAGTGTTTCAAAGTATTCTAATTTATATCTTTTAAGAAGATAAATATATTTGAAAAAAGAACACTATCATCTGAAAGAAAACTGTGCAATTAAACAAAAATCAGTGGACTGCTTTACTTCTGGAATTTATCATTTCTATAAAAAGGGAATCAGTTAGTGCTTAGAAATAAGTCCTTTTTCCCCCCTAAAAACACACCCAATTTCACTAAAAAGAAGTAAGTCTTCTGATTTCACTTGGAATTCAAGGTAATGTCATGTCAACTTCATTTAGACCAAAGGACTTTTCAGAAATTAAAAGGAAATCTACCAATTTCTGGCATAACTTCGTATGACATTGGTCTGACTCTCTTGCATGCAAGGTTGATCCTTTTCACCACTTCCCCCGCACCATAGTCTCTTCTCTCCTTTCTAGACTGAGAACTAACTCATTAGGGAATGACACCAACAAGAAGGAAGGGAAGGAACAGCTGGTTGAGTTGTTTACTTCTCTCCAGGCATTTCTTGCTATTGCCAACAACAGCGGTACAACTCTTTTCAGTGACAGAGTGGACTTTCTAACTTCAAAGAAAACTGGCATGAATTCTGAGAGCTTCCCATGAAAAAAGAAATAGACTACAAGAGAGTAAACGCATCAAAACACGGAACGAGCAATGTCCTGCCTGTTATTATCAGGTCTGTTACATTTAATGGTTTGGAGACACACAGCCTAAAGTTGAATCACTGGGCTAGCGTCACAAAGCAAATGAACACTGCTAGGAACAAAATATTGACCTTTGCCTTTGAAACTGCTGCAACTGCTTCCTGCTATGATTCCCTACTTCGCAGGGTGATGCCTCACATTTTGCCACCTAGTGAAGTTGCTATCTATTCCATTCCCCTGGGACAAATACAAGAATCAAAACAAAATACAATAACCCAGCCTTGTACAAGCATCCCTGATGTCGAACCTGGATTGCCCTAAAGACCCGAGTCAGGAGGAGATTGGGATAAAACAAACGTGGGAAACATGTGGGCTTTGCAGACCCTTGTTAAGCTAGCTATGGAGTTGTGCCTGGGACACACGTCCCCTTCCCACCAGACCTCCTGTGAAGCAGCCTTCCCAACACTGGCTCTACCCTGGTATTATAAAGAACATCAGTTTTTAAAGTTAAGTTGAAAGGGGACATCTAACCTTTTAATCATTATTTTTTAAAGGCTTTAAGTATATATGCATGTATATATGTATGTATGTATTTATGAGAGAGCAGGCACATGAGTAGCAGAGGGAGAGGGAGAAAGAATCTTATGCAGGCACCACCCCCCCACCCCCCCAGCACAGAATCCCACGCAGGGCTCGATATCACAACCTGAGCCGAAATCAAGAGTTGTACCTGAGCCACCAGGTGCCCCAGAAATTTAACCTTTTAAAATACCAATCAGTGCACCTGGGTGGCTCAGTGGTTAAGCGTCTGACTTCAGCTCAGGTCATGATCTCGTGGTTCGTGGTTTGAGCCCCATGTCAGGCTCTGTGCAGACAGCTCAGAGCCTGGAGCCTGCTTCAGATTCTGTGTCTCCCTCTCTCTCAGGCCTCCCCAGCTCATGCTCTGTCTCTGTCTCTGTCTCAGAAATAAATAAACATTAATAAAAAAAACTTTTTTCAATACCAATCAAATCTCACTATCATGAAACTCCAGTGGACTCTTTCCACCTCTGTAACGTTTACTCAACGCTGATGGAAATAAATGAACTATCATCTAAAACGTGGACGTCTCTTATGTTAGACTGAGGTTTTCATTGGCATGGTTATCAAACAGATTTTTAAAAGTACATATAATACTAATGCATAAGAATGAAGAAACTTTTAGAACTTCAATGATTTCAAAATAATTAATATTCACTGCTATGGAGTGAACTAGAAAAGGGCCAGGTGTTACTCAAAAGATGAAATCTTTGAAGGATAAAGGGAATTATTTCAGGGCATACAAAAAGGCCCAAATGCCTTTACTCTCCATCCAAGTGGTATTTAAAAAAAAAATTTTTTTTAACGTTTATTTATTTTTGAGACAGAGAGAGACAGAGCATGAACGGGGGAGGGGCAGAGAGAGAGGGAGACACAGAATCGGAAGCAGGCTCCAGGCTCTGAGCCATCAGCCCAGAGCCCGACGCGGGGCTTGAACCCACGGACCGCGAGATGGAGACCTGAGCTGAAGTCGGACGCTTAACCGACTGAGCCACCCAGGCGCCCCCAAGTGGTATTTTAGATCATGGACACATCACGGACGCATCCTCCAGATCCTACAAAGTCTCCTAGGGCTCCTTGGGGGAAAATATACAACTGGTTGATATGTGCCACCCAAACCCTTGCCGGCAACGCCCTGAAACTACGCATCAGTCAGGCTGAGATTCTGTTCAGGCAGAAGCACCGCATCCAGACCAAGCCGTCTCACTCTGAAAACCAGTGGAGGTTACAGGTGCAACAAAGTCCGAGGATCTAAACATCCAAACGTCTCTTGTTTGGGTGAGACTTTTCATAAAATTAAGCATGTGTTACCTGAAATTAGAATATATTTGGTACATTATAAAAAGCGTTGCTGAAAGCCACTCCAGACACTGAAGCCCACTGGTGTTCAGCACTCGGTTGCTCTCAGAAACTAGTGCGGCCAAGCCGACGCCGGCGAGCACAGCCACCACAGCGTTGCTCTGCATCCAGAATCTTTCTACCTGTGCAAGAGACACAAGAGCAGCACGTCCGGCTGGCTGCTTTATGCAACCAATCAGGCACCTGTCGACTTAAAAAATACACCGCGTGTGCCTATTGCTGTCACGCAGGTCTTGTTAACTGACTTTCCCCAATCCGACTCCACGTCCCTCTAGCTTTCAATTTTCAAATATTTCCCCTTTCCCGTTTGACACACGAATCTCCCTTTTTGGATCCACACGTTCTTTTCAATCCCGTGGCCTGCGCCTTGAACTCCTGCCACTTGTAAGGTGGAGGGGGTGGAGAAATGCTTTTGCTTTGCTCCTGATGTCTCCTCCCACGTGGGGAAGCTCCACCAATGTAACACCCCTCACTTCTTTCCTGAGGGGTGCAGGCACTGAGCTGACAGGGGGGGGGGCATCTGGGAGCTGAGGGTGGGTCCGCAGAGCCCTCCCCTTTCCTCTTTCTCTTGGAAGTGATCTGCCTACAGGATGCACCTGTCCAGGGGCAGACTCTGTCCCTGTGACGCCAGTGGGGCGGGTGTGGGGTGGGGAGGGTCTTGCCCTGGACAGCGCTGCCTGTGACTAGTGCGTGGGTCTGTCCATTCCAGGATGTGCTATGAGGAAGCCCCCTTGCCCACAGACATAAACCACACTCTCCAATCTCAGAGTGATCAGTGATAAAGGTGATTCACCCTGGTTTATCTCATTTCTCAGTTGATTCAGAACTCAGATGATCAAATAGGGTATTATTTATTAGGCCTCTCGAACACACACATACACTGCATTGGTTTCCGCCATTAGAGAAGAGCTATCTACATTTATAATTTCTACTACAGGGGCGCCT